CGGCTACAGCCGGCCCGCGCGTTACAGTAACCGATCCTCATGTGCAATATGATTTGATTGTACGTACAAGTTGTGCACTACAGTCTGACTAAACTACAGCCTGACATTAAACTACAGGAATCACCGCTTTGCGATACAACCACCTGCATCCCTGGGCTTGATCCTACGTCCCCACGTCGCCTGTACCAACACCGGGCTACAATAACACTGTTACGGGGTGTGGGGGTAGGGGGTTAACAGGGCAGTTGGTTGCTACACCGGGAGCCGGTTGTGCGCGACAGCGCAGGGGCGATGGAGGGGATGGTGTGGGGGGTGTAGCAGGGACAGGTTGTTGGAGGACGAGTCAGAGGGACTGTCTGACTGTGCTACGGTTGGAGGGGAGAGGGAGGTGGGACGACTGTAGGGGAGATGGGACGGCTGTAGAGGAGATGAGTTGACTGTACAGGAGAAGGAACAGGTGTAGAGGAGAGGGAACAACTGTAGGAGATGGCTGTAAGGGATGTGGAATGACTGTAGGAGACAGCTGTAGGGGAGAGGGAACGACTGTAGGAGATGGAAGGACTGTAGGAGATGGCAGTAAGAGTGGTGGGACGGCTGTAGGGAATGGCTGTAGGAGCTGGGACGGCTGTAGGGGAGAGGGAACAACTGTAGGAGATGGAATGACTGTAGGGGATGTGGAATGACTGTAGGAGATGGCTGTAAGAGTGGTGGGATGGCTGTAGGGGACGGCTGTAGGAGCTGGGACGGCTGTAGGGGATGTGGAATGACTGTAAGAGTGGTGGGATGGCTGTAGGGGACGGCTGTAGGAGCTGGGACGGCTGTAGGAGGGACAGGATGACTGTAGGGGAGCTTAGGGGGGGGCTTTCCATATCGTTAACTCAGCCCTTGCTCTCTTTCCCCCTCCCCTAATTAAGACCCATCCTTCTCCACCCCACACCCCACAGTTTTCCGCCTGACAACAGTCAGAGGGCGGGTGACACCCGGACCCCTGGGAGGAGGAGGGGGGGGGGGCCCAGCCAGAGCCGAGGTCCCACCCTGGGTTAAGACAAAGAGACGCGTTAAAAAATAAATTAATTAATAAGGCCAAGAGGCTCCGCCCTCCCTGCCCAGCCCCACCCACCGACCCCACCCCACTTAGCTCCACCCCTCGGCAAATAGCCCCGCCCCTCTGCTCTTAGCCCCGCCCTCCACGGGGGGGAGTGTCACTTATAGAGGAGATGGACGCGGCTCCCGTCGCAGTTGCCCCGGCCGAGCTTGTCGGCCTGTTCGGAGACCAGGCAGCGGACCAGGGGCAGGTTGGGTTGGTAGAAGGGGGCGGGGCCTGAGGGGGCGGAGCTTAACCCCGGGGAGAAATGGTTGTCAGCCTCCCGGGAGGGGTTGGACGACCGTCGGCGGGAGCGGAGCTGCTGGCGGTCCTGGAGCTGCTGGCGGAGCTCCGACACGCGTTCCTCCTTCTGCCGGGTGACAAATTTGGGGGGGGTGAGGGGGGTTAAGGTGTCAGATACCACCCCCTTAACGGTGTCACCCCTCCCACATCACCACCGCCCCACACACACCAACCCCCATTGAGGTGGTGGCGCCTCGAAGATGATCCACCCCTCTTGGTATAGGTTGAAGGTACAACCCTGAAGCTACAACCCAACTCTGGGGGAGGTGGCCACCCCCAAACCACACTTTTTTGGGGTTTCCCCCCCCCACCCCCACCTTGGTCCCTCCCACATCTTTGTTTCTCCACCCCCAACACCCACCTCAGCGATGATTTTCTCCAGCTCCCGGTTCTCCTTCTCCAAGAGGCGGGATTTCTCCTCCTCGTTGTTGTTGGTGGAGGAGCCCGTCTTCATGGTGTCCTGCTGCTCCGACTGCCACTCCCCTCGGGTGATGAGGCGGCGCATCTGCAACGGTCACCGGTTGTCAACGGTGTCCCCCCAGCAAGCAACACCCACACCTGGTTGTCCCCTGTGTCCCCTGCTGACTGCCATCACCAATTCCATGACCCTACTGGAGAAGAAACCTCTGCAGAGGCAACACCTTGACCCTACAAAGGGAGGACGTAGGACGACTGTTCCTCCTCACCCTAGAAGAAACACCTGGACCCCACCACCTTGGAGATGTCAAAGGTGTTCCCCCTCAAGCAACACCCACACCCGGTTGTCCCCTGTGTCCCCTGCTGACTGCCATCACCAATTCCATGACCCTACTGGAGAAGAAACCTCTGCAGAGGCAACAGCTCATGCCTACAAGGGGAGGACGTAGGACAACTGTTCCTCCTCACCCTAGAAGAAACACCTGGACCCCCACCCCCAACACCCACCTCAGCGATGATTTTCTCCAGCTCCCGGTTCTCCTTCTCCAAGAGGCGGGATTTCTCCTCCTCGTTGTTGTTGGTGGAGGAGCCCGTCTTCATGGTGTCCTGCTGCTCCGACTGCCACTCCCCTCGGGTGATGAGGCGGCGCATCTGCAACGGTCACCGGTTGTCAACGGTGTCCCCCCAGCAAGCAACACCCACACCTGGTTGTCCCCTGTGTCCCCTGCTGACTGCCATCACCAATTCCATGACCCTACTGGAGAAGAAACCTCTGCAGAGGCAACACCTTGACCCTACAAAGGGAGGACGTAGGACGACTGTTCCTCCTCACCCTAGAAGAAACACCTGGACCCCACCACCTTGGAGATGTCAAAGGTGTTCCCCCTCAAGGGGACGACTGTAGAGGAGATGACTGTAGGGGAGACGGGACTGCTGTAGAGGAGATGAGTTGACTGTACAGGAGAAGGAACAGCTGTAGAGGAGAGGGAACGACTGTAGGAGATGGCTGTAAGGGAGGTGGGATGGCTCCAAGGGACATGGAATGACTGTAGGAGATGGCTGTAGGGGACGGCTGTAGGAGCTGGGATGGCTGTAGGGGAGAGGGAACGACTGTAGGAGATGGCAGTAAGAGTGGTGGGATGGCTGTAGGGGACGGCTGTAGGAGCGGGGACGGCTGTAGGGGAGAGGGAACGACTGTAGGAGATGGAAGGACTGTAGGAGATGGCAGTAAGAGTGGTGGGACGGCTGTAGGGAATGGCTGTAGGAGCTGGGACGGCTGTAGGGGAGAGGGAACAACTGTAGGAGATGGAATGACTGTAGGGGATGTGGAATGACTGTAGGAGATGGCTGTAAGAGTGGTGGGATGGCTGTAGGGGACGGCTGTAGGAGCTGGGACGGCTGTAGGGGATGTGGAATGACTGTAAGAGTGGTGGGATGGCTGTAGGGGACGGCTGTAGGAGCTGGGACGGCTGTAGGAGGGACAGGATGACTGTAGGGGAGCTTAGGGGGGGGCTTTCCATATCGTTAACTCAGCCCTTGCTCTCTTTCCCCCTCCCCTAATTAAGACCCATCCTTCTCCACCCCACACCCCACAGTTTTCCGCCTGACAACAGTCAGAGGGCGGGTGCCCCCCGGACCCCTGGGGGGAGGGGGGGGGGGGGGGCCCAGCCAGAGCCGAGGTCCCCCCCTGGGTTAAGACAAAGAGACGCGTTAAAAAATAAATTAATTAATAAGGCCAAGAGGCTCCGCCCTCCCTGCCCAGCCCCACCCACCGACCCCACCCCACTTAGCTCCACCCCTCGGCAAATAGCCCCGCCCCTCTGCTCTTAGCCCCGCCCTCCACGGGGGGGAGTGTCACTTATAGAGGAGATGGACGCGGCTCCCGTCGCAGTTGCCCCGGCCGAGCTTGTCGGCCTGTTCGGAGACCAGGCAGCGGACCAGGGGCAGGTTGGGTTGGTAGAAGGGGGCGGGGCCTGAGGGGGCGGAGCTTAACCCCGGGGAGAAATGGTTGTCAGCCTCCCGGGAGGGGTTGGACGACCGTCGGCGGGAGCGGAGCTGCTGGCGGTCCTGGAGCTGCTGGCGGAGCTCCGACACGCGTTCCTCCTTCTGCCGGGTGACAAATTTGGGGGGGGTGAGGGGGGTTAAGGTGTCAGATACCACCCCCTTAACGGTGTCACCCCTCCCACATCACCACCGCCCCACACACACCAACCCCCATTGAGGTGGTGGCGCCTCGAAGATGATCCACCCCTCTTGGTATAGGTTGAAGGTACAACCCTGAAGCTACAACCCAACTCTGGGGGAGGTGGCCACCCCCAAACCACAATTTTTTGTG